CAGTTTCACCCGTTGTTTGGTTCACTAAAGTTGAGACTCTGGGAAAGAAAGCTTAATTGGTAAAGTCTGTGAAGTGAAGCGTGGTTGTCAAATGGAGATTAATGTCTTCTCATAGGTCTCCACTTAAGTTTCTGAAGAGCAGATTGAGTAGGATTTGGTTTTAGCACGTCTCTTACAGGTCTCCTATCCCAAGACACTTTCTAAAAAATAAAACATATTCCATATTGCTCTACTCTCTGCAAGGTAGGGACAGTCAGGTTGGAGTCAATTAATGCACTACCCTGAGCAGAAACTTCAAAACTTTGTCGTTGCTTTGCTTTATTTGAATTTGAATTTGGGATTTAGTTTTCTTTAGTTCATTTGCTACTAAAATCATTCAAAAAAATGAGGGCTTTATTTTGACATTGGCGAAAATCCTTTACTCAGAAGAAAAAATTTAAAACTGCTGGAAATTGAAATGTTTCACATGTCTAAATCACAATGATGACTACTTAAATACAAAGAATAAATGTATCCTATTACGAGATGATCGCAAACAGTGCACCCACATTCTTAATCCATTTGCAATCATAAGCTTACCCATCACCTCGTGAATGAAGTAAAATTGCTTTTTGTATTGAGTTTAATAAGTATAGTATAGGATACATAGCTCCTTTAATGAATGCGGTTTTTTGTAAAATGTAATTGAATGATTTTTTTTTTTCTAATTTGGCTTTTTAAAGCATGCGTTCATTGTTAAATACATTTTTTGGTTTCAATATTTGGTTTTTTATTTCACATGAAGAATTTTTTCTTCCAGAGTTTCTTAGACATGCTACACTTTGATTTATGTATTTGTAATGTTGTGGCACAAAGGTTAGTACATTATTTTAAAAAGGGAAATGTGATGAACTGTCAATTCATTGTAGAGATGACTTTCCATTGCCAGCAAAACTCATTACACTCTTAAAATTTTTTCCTAAACTTATTTTATATTGCATGGTACTTTAAAGATACAAAATAATTTGTGTTAATTTTACTTAGTTTTAATTTTCTTTGAAAACTGGATTAAAATATATTATGTGTTTTTTTTGGTAACCATTACTAGGATTGTTTTCTATTTTTATATTTTTGTCATTGATGGCCAGTTATTAAGAGATCATCTTTCTAACTTATATTTGCTGTTTCTGCCTGCCTAGCTACATAATTCCTCTTACTGCTAAGTGGATTAGCTAAAGACATGAAATAACATTTTAAAACAATAGTTTAACAGTATTCTGGAACAATAACAAAAATCAGATTATGGTTCAAGACTTTCTACGAACTTCATTCAATGAGACAGCACAGGTCAAGCGGGCAGAAAGTCATAGAAAATTCATAAGCCTAAAAAAATAAAAAAATAAAAAGAAAATTCATAAGCCTGACATTCCATCAGGGTGTGCCTAATGAGATGTTTAGAAATAGAAGGCAGCGTATGCCATGACTAGTTGAAAGAATTCTGCAAGCTTGGATTGACATCAGGTCTTTTCACTGACTGAGATAATCAAGGAATCTGTGTAAATCAGCCTTTCTTATTGACTGTCAGGCCAGGAAAGGAACCAACCCACCCGAAGTCAACTCTGCCATCATTTCTTAAGCCACACTGTTCCTTTCAGCCCATAGAATCTCATGAATAGACAAAGTTAGGTTTCTAAAAATAATTTTGAGGCTAGATATGTGGTTTAATGTTATTCTATATTACATCCTATACAATTAAAATCTACAGATGTGCCTTGTAGAGTACAATGTTTTTCCCTTTAGCCAGAGGAAGGACCAAATTTAAATAATACCTGACTAGGCAATTACTACATGCTGTGATTGGAAGTTATCTCTAACCACCTGCCACAGTGCTGAAATTTTTATCATTAGAGATCCATTTCTTTGGAAGAGCTCTGGGTAGGCTGCAGCCAGTCTCCTCTAAAATAGAGGCTCTAATTATAGCCATGAACCCTGTTATCTGAATTAGTAAATTACCTGATATAAATTTTAGTTAAAATTTTGACTGAGAATAAAAGGAAGCTATGTTTGAATTGGAATATAGGGCAAAGCCTCAGTCAACAATCTTGGATACAGTATTTTAATAGAAATAGATTAAAATGTTCTCCAAATAATGTCCCATCCCCATTCTGACTCTTTTAATACAAAAACAGGCAGATTTATTCTCCAAAAGATACGTCTCTGAGCAGTGGTGACCTTTGCTTTCAGCTTCCTCTGTAAATCCATTTTTGTCTTTGACTATTTGAAGTTTTCTGTTTTTCTCATTAAAATTTCTCCTTGTGCTTTTCATTCAGTCATAAAGCTGTTGGGCTTTATTCTAGAAACTGATATTGAGCAATGAGCAAGACAGCCATAATCCCTGACCTCATTAAAATTGATAGTCTAAAGTAAATGCAGACCATTAATGGGAGATTAAATATGGTCTGGTACATGATAAGACACATACAAAGTGCAAGAAAAAACATAATGTCATGTGAGGGAATGCATAAATAGCTTAACTTAGCCATCCCATAACATATTCATATATTAAAACATCATGTTACATGCTCTAACTTAATACAATTTTTACTTGTCAAATCAAAAAAAATACAAAATTCAAAGAACATGTAAGAATTACCTCCCTGAATTTAGAAGGTTGCCAGAGGTAGCCACTTGGAAGAGATGTCCACTAGATTCAGAAGATAAGTGTAAATTAGCCAATAAAAGGAAGTCAGAATTGAGATTATTCCAGTAAAAAGGAACAGCATGTTTAAGGCCAAGAATCAAGAGGGCCACAATGTAGGTTGGCAAATAAAAAATAAAATTTATGTATAGCTAGAGCAGGGAGTAAAAGACACCAGCAGGACTTAATCATGAAGGGACTTTAAAGCCACGTTAAGGATAAAGCTTTTGGCTCGGCGCGATGTATCACACCTGTAATCCCAGCACTTTGGGAGGCCGAGGCGGGTAGATCACCTGAGGTCAAGAGTTTGAGACCAGTCTGGCCAACGTGGTGAAACCATGTCTCTACTAAAACTACAAAAATTAGGCGGGCATGTTGGCAGGCACCTGTAATCCCAGCTACTTGAGAGGCTGAGGCAGGAGAATCGCTTGAACCTGGGAGGTGGAGGTTGTAGTGAGCTGACATTGTGCTACTGCATTCCAGCCTGGGTGACAGAGACTCCATCTCCATCTCAATAAATAAATAAAGCTTTTATTTGAAGGATAGCAAAGAATCACTAGAGAAGTTTAGACAGGAAGCCATAATTTCATTATTGAGAGAACACTTTACAGGTGGGAAGTGGCACAGTAAAAAGGCAATGAAGAAACTGGTACCACATTTGAGGTATGATATAGTAACAATTTTCACTTGATGAAAGACAATGGAGAGAGAAAAGAATGGAATCAAGAACTATTTAGAAAGTATAATAAATAATTAGTAATTGACTGATTAGATGCAACATGATGAAGGACATGATAGAGGAAGTAGAAATATCTAGAATTACGTCAAATGAAGGCAATCATTATTTGTATTTCGCCGAAACAGAAATAAATACAGAGAAGGAGGAAAAGCAAGTTGGGGAGTTGAGAATTAGGTGAGAAGAGGATACGCAAGGAGTTCATATTTGGGAGTGTTAGCTTTTGGTGTTTGTAGAATATTCATGAGGAGATGTCCAATAGGGTGAGATAACATGCAAGTATGAAGATCGAGGGGAAATCTGGACTTGAGAGATGCAGAGTTGAGAGGTGCCAGAATGTGAGGAGGAATTGAAGTTAAAGGTGTGGGTAGAATGAGAAGAAAGGAAAGCCTAGGACAAAATCTTAATGGAGTCAAAATTTGTGGTACAGGGAGAAGTACTGGGAAAGCCTTCCCTCTTCCTGCAGCATCACTAAACTTCCCGTTCTTTTCACTTAGTCTAGATGCCTTTAACTGTATTTTTACTTGGACAACGCTGTGTTATAGGTTGGCTTCATGGAAGAATAATGACATCACTAATATTTTTAAAGCTTAAGAACCAACATATATAGTATTTATGTAATATCTAATATTCTATATATAATATTAAAACCAAGATCATCTTAAAACCTCAATCATGCTCTGTGGGAAAGAAAGTTATATTGTAACAGATAATCACATCTATACATTGTATATTAAGGAAATGTATTTTAAATGACACATAACTTAATTCCCAATAAGTTGCCTGCCCTATTTCTTTTATAACTACTCTGTTAAAGGTGAACAGATCCTTGAAGGGAGACTTTCCAATCTGTTCAGCATGCTATTTATATTTGAAAATTGTTGAATTATCCTAATCATACTTATAGTAACAATCAAGATTAATTGCAGCTATATTAGGATTACTTATTATTTTTTCTGCTTCAGCAGTAACACAAATCCAATTGTACAAACAATTTCCATAATCCAAATTGTGAAAGAAAGTAGGGAGAAAAATGATCATTCAAAGCTGGTTGAAATAGTTTTCAAAATCAATCTTTAACCAGACTGTTATCTAAAATTCTGTTTTTGACAAGGAGCTAATTCTGAACAGATTGTACATGTGCCTCACTGGTGGAAGTAGATTATCTGTCTTGAATTGGATTGTGATGACGATGACCCTATTCTAAGCAAACCAAATCTCTTGAACTATATAATGAGATCAGGAGGAACATTCGACCTGAGAAATACAGATTGCAATGACAGAGATGATTTTGCTTATTTTTTTTTCCAGCCTCTTTCCTTAATGTACGTGATATTGTGATTTATTTTCATGCAGAGATCCCTGATCCTATAGTTTTGTTTGCTATTTATTTTTCTCCTTCACAATTTTTTTTTTTTTTTTTTTTTAAATCAGCAGAGCTGAATGAGTGCCAGGAAGCTGCGAAGTCTATCTTACAAAAAGGTGATTGTGGAAGAGTCTAGAATCTTCTTTTATTGTGCAGCAGGATTACAGAAAAGCTATCAAGAGTAAACATTTAACTGATACACTCTTATTCCTTCTCTTTAGGCTGTAAGGAGGCAAAAGTTGCTTGAACAGAGCATCCAGTCTGCCCAGGAGATCGAAAAATCCTTACACTTAATTCAGGAGTCCCTCACATTCATTGACAAGCAGTTGACAGCTTATATTGCAGACAAGGTGGACGCAGCTCAAATGCCTCAGGAAGCCCAGGCAAGTACATCTGGGAATCAGCTTCCGTTCTTTTGTTTTTATTACATGAACAAAATGTTGCAGAGTTTCTAACTTTAAACGTATTCAACTAGTTTTCCAGGGGGTTGTTTTGATTCACTGATTTGACTATTTGGAGGTAGGTAGGAAGAAAAAGGGGTCTAGATCACTAGTCTAAGATTTATTTTTTTAAGCATGTAATGGAGGAATTTGAAATAAAGACAATTCAAAGACAGGAGCAATACGTTCTGGTGTTTCTGACTTCAAGCTATACTAAAAGCTAGAGGAAAACCATAGGAAAGTAAATGGTAAAGAAAATACTTTTTTGCCGGTTGTGGTGGCTCACGCTTGTAATCCCAGCCCTTTGGGAGGCCAAGGCCCGCAGATCACGAGGTCAGGAGTTTGAGACCAGCCTGGCCAACATGGTGAAACCCCGTCTCTACTAAAAATACAAAAATTAACTGGTTGTGGTGGCGGGCGCCTGTAATCCCAGCTACTCGGAAGGCTGAGGCAGGAGAATCGCTTGAACCCGGGAGGCGGAGGTTGCAGTGAGCCGAGATCACAGCACTGTATTCCAGCCTGGAACACAGCGAGACTTTTTTATTTTCTTAAAAAATATATATATTTTTTTATGGCACTGTTGAAAATCAGTCTCAAACATTTTATTATAAACTCATCATTGAGTTTAGTCACATGGTCTATATTGTTTTATAAAAATGTCTTAGTTACAAGCAGTTAGTAACACAAAATTATCAATATAAATTTGCACCTCAGTTATTAATGCTCATGCTCAGAATAGCTACATGCACACACTCCCATGCTTCATTCAAACCAAAATATAAAACGTGTTTACCTGTTTTTCTTTTTCTAGAATGAGAATTAAAATAGTGATGAAAATAAATCTAAGTGGACTTTTCAGTGAGTAAATTATAGGTCATAACTAAATTTACACTCACTGTAAGAAGTATTTTAAAAATGCTATTCTCATTTTTTAATTAACATTTAAACATATGTGAAGTTATAGGTATTATTTATTCAAATGTCTTTAGGGTTGTGTGGTAGCAATTAATTTAGCTGCTTTTCAAATCTTGTGTACATGTTGTAAACCCAGTCACCAAGTACATGCTATGATGTGAGGAGCACTAGAAGGTTAGCTGCAAATCTCAAAGCCTTCTCCCCACCAGTTAGTGAAGAGGCGTGAAGTTCTTCACTTTAAAATCAATTTGGGGGTGAAATATTAGATTTGTAGATCATGGTTACAATGCAACGACAGTTAATGAATCACAGTTAATAGGTGCCCCGGGTGTCAGCATACACAATAGCATGATTTAATTTACCATATGGTCTAAGTTTGACCAAGAATGTCCCTGATAATACGTGGCAGAGTATAGGTAGTTTTGATAGGCTTAAAAAGTCCAGGGAATATGGTTTCCTTGTGGAATGCTATACCATTGCAATAGGGGATGAAGAAAGAGAGTTTTGGGGAGAATCCTGATGATAAAATCCTCCTCATAGTTTTTCACTGGGCAACAAGAGTAAGTACTGTAGTAGAAGTGAGGAATAATAGTAAATATATTGAGGATTCAAGTTTTATTTTGTCTTGATATATAATGATTGTACATATTTTAGAGGGTAAGTGTGATATGTTGATACATACCTACTCCAGTATATACATTTTTCAAACTTACACAAGCCAGGTTCTCTATCATTAACTATTCCTGAGTCTGTCCCAGTTTGAGTCATAATGAAAAAGGTTTTTTGATACGTAATATTTATACATATTTCTGGGTACAACATTTATGTAATATTTTCTTACATGCATAGAATGTGTAACGATCAAGTCAGAGTATTTAGCGTATCCACCACAGGCAGGGTTTAGTAAAATGCATATAGGAATGAGTGATTGTTCCTGAATTGAGAAGAACTACATGATCATAAATGAAATTCAGAGTAGAACTGCTTTCATTTAAACTAATGACATGAGTTTTGAAGGAATGTTTGATTAAAAATGCTCGTGACTTTCTGAATGGAATTAAGGAAAATTTTGAGCAGTATGAATATTAGACATTAATATTGCAAATTAGTACTTTAAAATGCATAAAGAACTACATTGTGACAGACTTGTAGAATGAAATTATGAGTAGCAAATTTGATAGGCAAAGCTATTATACTATTGTCTTTGAAGGAGAATTGGAGCTTTTAGGGCAAAACATCTTTAGTTGAAAAGGTTGTGATAAGGGGCACTGTGTGTTTTTTCTTATTTAGAAATGGATTCAGGATTCTATAAACATTACTAGTTTTTAATCACAAAACGTTTTGTTTGGTTTTTCTAAAAAAAACTACAGTAAAAGTGTTATTAACTACATCAGTAGAAAAGTACTTGCAAACAGCAGAACACAGATAAATTATGAAATTTCAGATCTTCTTGAAGAAAGAGATTTTTGGGTATTCAGCTCATATCCATTTTCCATGCATTTCAGGTCGTACCTGCATTACCAACATAGTTCTTGACATTGTGTCTCCCCAATGGTAATACATAATATTGGAAAATACAAGCCATCTGAAAGCTATTAAAACATTCTTCTGCTCCAAGGTTTTATTTTAATACGGCAGTAAGTGCATTGTTTTCTAGAACAGAGTTCTCAAGTACTCAGATTTGCTTCAAGGATTATATTTCCTAAAAAGCAACTCGAAATTCCCATGAAATAGAGAGTCAAAAGTTAGATAGTGAAATAACATAAGCACAGTGTGTAAGATGAAGGATCCACTAAGAATGCCACCAAAATGACATTTTAAATATAGAAAGAGATGGTATAGATAGAGAGAGAGAGAGATGAAAGAAAGAAAGAAAAGAATAGGGGCTAACTTTAATGCATCATATTAACAAAGATATGTTTCTATAAATTTACATTTAAAGATAAAGTTATTGCTAATTAAAATATTAGTACACTATAATTTCTCTTTTCATAAATGGTATAGTTAGCTTAATTCATCACTGAGAAGCAGGAAAAAATGTACGATGTTACCATATTTAGTCTTTGAAATATATGTCAGATTCTCTGTCATATACTGGTCACACAGATTTGTTGGTGTCTGACTCCACCGTGTGGTGCACTGAGAGTTTTGCTACTTAATTTGAAACTGTTAGAGCATTATTTTTTCTGCATTTTAAGATCGTTTGAGATCTTCAGGTATAAAAGCTATTGCATTAAGGAAATGCATAACATATGTATAACTTTCTGACAACCATACCCTTGTTATATATAAAAGTAGATGTAGATCAGGATACTTCTTTACATTCACATTTGCATTTATTGCCATAGGAAAGAAAAGAGCTGCTCACTTCCTTAGCATGTTAATTGATCAGTTATTTCTCATGATTGGAAAACTGAGCCCTCCGATTTTGAATTGGACTTAAAATTATTTGACTTATTTTAGTGACATGAGCTTACTTACAGAAGCAAAACTTAACCTTTTAGAAAATCTGCGTGCTGCAAGGATATAAGAGCATGTGTTGACCTAGGAGTATTTTATTTCAAAACATAACACTTAGCCAAATCACAGGCTTAAATTATATGACCACAGCATCAAACTACCCAGTGTCAGCTCATTTAATGAGAAGTTTTATTAAAATACAAAATTAAGAAAAGATGTGTTGAAACAGAATAAAGCAAATTGGGAAAACTCTTCTAGATATGGAAATACATCTTAGAAAACAGAAACTTTAGAACTATTTCCAAAGTACTATGATTAAAAACATAACAACTTATGAGTATTCCTTGGAAACAATTTAAAAAATAAAATCACCAAATTGTATAACTGCAAAGAAACACGTGGAACAAATTTAGTCATTTACTGCTCAATTTTTCAGAACTATGTATTGAAGCACAGAGTTTTAGTTTTGGCACCTAAAATCCTAGAGCAGAAGTCTAAGTAACCATGCTGAACCCCAGAGCAATCAAATCAAAATCTATAGGTGAATTTAGTCTTCAGAATTTTTGGAAACTTTTTCACTCATTCTAATGTGTAGCTAAGTTTGAGGATGGCTTTGGATGGTTTCTTACTAGTACTGAGTAAATTGTTCCGGAGTATTTTTCATACAACATTTTCTATCACTCTTTTATAAAGATTCTCTTCTATAACTGTGTCAGCATTTCAATGGGAGGGAGTCCGAGTGGCAATCAAACTACTGGTGACATTCTCTCCTATTTTGATTTTTTCCTCTAATGGAAAATGGGTGATGGAAGAAAATATAGCTGAGAGCTATCGCACAAATTTTAATTTAGGCAAATAGAATGTTCAATATAGATGTTTGAGGCTGAACTCAGCTTGGCTTTCTTCAATTCGTTTTTTTCTAACCACATTTGTTAACATGCCAATTAACTTGCATATGGCTCTTAATCATTTTAGGGGACAGTGACGACTATGTATAAACAGCTACTTAAATGTCTTGTAATTTTTTAAATTACAAAGATACTTTCACATACATTTTTTTTCCTTTCCCACTAATTTCAGTTTTGAATCTTTGATATGTAAGAACAACCCAACATGGGTACCTGTTGAAAGTCACCATGTCATTATGTGTTGATGAACATTTTGTAGAGGAGACCATGGCCCTGTTGCTTAGATTACTGCAAGCAACAGCAGAGTTGCCTAGCGGTGGCTCCACTATCTTTACTATTCTATTTGCTTTTTCCCAAAGGATTCTGATCTCATTTTTTAAATTTTTATTTATTTTATTTTATTATACTTTAAGTTCTAGGGTACATGTGCACAACGTGCAGGTTTGTTACATATGTATACTTGTGCCATGTTGGTGTGCTGCACCTATCAACTCGTCATTTATGTCAGGCATAACTCCCAATGCCATCCCTCCCCACTCTCCCCTCCCCATAATAGGCCCCAGAGTGTGATGTTCCCCTTTCAGAGTCCAAGTGATCTCATTGTTCAATTCCCACCTATGAGTGAGAACATGTGGTGTTTGGTTTTCTGTTCTTGTGATA